CTCCAGGAAAGCTGGGGAGGGACTTGGGACAAGGGCAGGGAGGGATGGGATGAGGGGGATGGATGCAAAGTGGAAGAGGGAGATTGAGGTTGGAGATGAGGAGGGAATTCTTTGGTGTGAGGGTGGTGAGAGCCTGGCCCAGGTTGCCCAGGGAAGCTGTGGCTGCCCCATCCCTGGGGGTGTTGAAGGGCAGGTTGGATGGGGCTTGGAGCAACCTGGGCTGGTGGGAGGTGTCCCTGCCCGTGCAGGGGGTTGCATCTAGATGATCTTGAAGGTCCCTTCCCACCCAAACCATCCCATGATCCCAAGGTTTCTGGGGGATCCCTTCACAAACTTCCCATCCTGTTGTGTGCTTCCCGCTCTCTTCCTGCTGCTTCCCTCAGAGAGGCCTTGGAAGGATGTTGTCATGGTGGCTCCACAGGGCATCTATCCAGCCTGACCCATCCAGGACTGTCATATTTTGGGGGAAAAAAAGGTGATCATGTAAAACTTGTGAATATATTTGTTCCCCTGCAGAATCACTGGTTCACCTACAACGAGACCATGACCGTGGAGAGTGTGACCCAGGCTGTGTCCAACCTGGCCCTGCAGTTTGGGGAGGAGGATGCTGACCCAGGAGCCATGGTGAGGAGCTGGATGGGTGGGATGGATCCAGGGAGGTGCTGTTGGATCCCTCAGACTTGAATTCTCTTGGGATTCCCTCACTTGTCCCTTCCTTCCTCTTCCAGTCTCGTCCGTTCGGAGTCGCGTTGCTGTTTGGAGGAGTCGATGAGAAAGGACCTCAGCTGTGAGTTCAGCTCTTGATCCAGAGCAGCTCTGGGAAGGGACAAAACCTTCTCTAAAGATTCCCAGGAGATGTTATGGATGATCCAAGGACTGGAGCCAGGCTGGGAGAGTTGGGATGTTCAGCCTGGAGAAGAGAAGGCTCCAGGGAGACCTCAGAGCAGCTTCCAGTGCCTGAAGGGGCTCCAGGAAAGCTGGGGAGGGACTTGGGACAAGGGCAGGGAGGGATGGGATGAGGGGGATGGATGAAAAGTGGAAGAGGGAGATTGAGGTTGGAGATGAGGAGGGAATTCTTTGATGTGAGGGTGGTGAGAGCCTGGCCCAGGTTGCCCAGGGAAGCTGTGGCTGCCCCATCCCTGGGGGTGTTGAAGGGCAGGTTGGATGGGGCTTGGAGCAGCCTGGGCTGGTGGGAGGTGTCCCTGCCCATGCAGGGGGTTGGATCTAGATGATCTTGAAGGTCCCTTCCCACCCAAACCATTCTATATTTCTATGCCTCTGGGATTTCCCTTGAGCCAAACACTTTGGGTTAATCCCTTCCTATCCCTCCAGTGATTGTTAATTATTTCCAAGCATGACCTGCAGCAGCCTCAGCACAGGCAGCTTGATGGTGTCTTCACCAAATCTTGCTATTTTCATGTGGTTTCCTGGCCAGGAGGGAGGGTTTGAGACACTTTCCATGTCCCCCAGTTGCTTCTTACCTTTCTCTAAAGGACTAGCAGAGCAGGCAGTAACATAATCTCTGGAGCCTGCTGGAGCATTCCATGGGGAGGTGGTGAAGTGTTTGAAACCTGAACTTCAAACATGCAGCCTCTGCTGGAGGTGGGAGCAACTCAGCAGAGCCAGCCCTAAAAGGTCCTCCCAGGGCCTCCTCCCTGGAGCACAGTGACAATTTGCTGGTTTTATTAAAAAGAAGCAAAACCCAAAACCTCACAGGAAGGACATGGAGGGGCTGGAGTGTGTCCAGAGAAGGGAACAGGGCTGGGGAGGGGTCTGGGGGAGGAGGAGGGGAAGGGTCTGGAGGAGAAGGGGAAGGGTCTGGAGGAGAAGAAGGGGAAGGATCTGGAGGAGAGGAGGGGTCTGAAGACCCTCTGAGGAGCAGCTGAAGAACCTGGGGGTGTTGTGCCTGGAGCAAAGGAGGCTGAGGGGAGACCTTCTGACTCTGCAACTGCCTGAGAGGAGGTTGGAGCCAGGAGGGGTCGGGCTCTGCTCCCCAGGAACAAGGGATGGAACAAGAGGAAATGGCCTCAAGTTGCTCCAAGGGAGGTTGAGGTTGGATCTGGGGAACAATTCCTTCCTGGCAAGGGTTGTCAGGGCCTGGCCCAGGGCAGGGGGGGAGTCCCCATCCCTGGAGATGTTCAGAAAAGCATGGAAATGTGGTGCTGGGGTTGAGTTGATGGTTGAAATGGATGATCTTTGAGAGCTTTTCCAACCATAATGATTCTATTAAAAGGGAAAAAAAAAAAAGGGGGGAGGGGGAATAAAAGGGGAAATAGCTCTGCCCTGAGGGTGGTGGGCAGGGCAGTGCTCCCCAGCTTGGTGTGCTGAGGCTTTGATGCTCCTCAACCTTTGGTCTGTGTGCCAGGAGAGGACACTTGGGGACATCTCCTGGAGGAGGTTGGGGCAGCAGAGGAGCCCTTGTTCTCCCCCATCTCTGGGGGTTTGGTGGGGGACCCTTGAGGTGCCATGGGTCTTGTCCCTGTCCCCATGTTCCTGCAGGTTCCACATGGATCCATCAGGGACCTTTGTTCAGTGCGACGCCAGGGCCATCGGTTCCGCCTCGGAGGGTGCCCAGAGCTCCCTGCAGGAGGTTTATCATAAGGTAACAGCCTGCTTGGGGTGGACATCTCAGGAGTGAAGAGGTTCCTCAGGGCCTGGAGGTGTTCAAAAGTGGGGTGAAGGTGGTGCTGAAGTTTAGCTCTGAGTTGGGTGGAGTTGGAGAAGGGTTGATGGAGCTGAGTAGTGGTTGGACTCGATGGTCTTAAAGGTCTTTTCCAACCAGGTTGAGATGGAATCTTGGGAATAATTTCTTCACCCAAAGAAGAGCCTGAATGTGGGGAAACAAATCCTTGGCTCTTCTTGTGAAGCCCTGGAGCTCCAGGCAGGGTCTCTGTGCTGCTCCACCCTGAGAGGAGGTTGGAGCCAGGGGGAATCAGTCTCTTCTCCCAAGGAACAAGTGATGGGACAATAGGAAATGGCCTCATGTTGCTCCAGGGGAGGTTGAAGTTGAATCTTGAGAATAATTCCTGCCTGGCAAGGGTTGTCAGGGCCTGGCCCCGGCTGCCCAGGGCAGGGGGGGAGTTCCCATCCCTGGAGGGGTTTCCAAGCCCTGGAGATGGTGCTGAGGGACACAGGGCAGTGGTGGCCTTGGCAGGGCAGGGGGAAGGGTTGGACTGGAGGATCTTGAAAGTCTTTTCCAACCCAAACCATCCATCATTCCTCAATAACTGGATTGATCCACTGCCAGAATTGCTCAAGTTCTGGCCCCTCTGGCTCAGGAACCATCTCCCAAGTCCAGAGATGCACACACAGCTCCTGTCACCCTCTCAGGTCCCTCTGGCTCCAGCTCCTCAACCTCCTGCAGTGATTTAGGTGATGGCAGCATCCAGAGCTCCCAGTGGGGAGAGTGTTGGGGGGGACCTCCCTGACAAGACAATAACTGGTGAAGGGAAACAGCCCCTCATTCCCCATCCTGACAGAGATCAACAGTTCTTAAGCCTGGTCAGGAAGTGCCACAGCAGCAGAAAGCCACCATCCTTGTCATTGTCACCATCCTGGCCTGACAGGGAAGCTTTGAGCTCTTGTTGATGCTGTAGATAACTCGATAAGCTTTGAAACCTGATGCCAGGGAGAGCTTAAAGGGATTGAGGGGGGGGGAGTAGGGGGAGAGCAGCAGGTTTTCCTGCTGGGATGGGCAGGGTTTGGGTGCTGGGCTGATGGATGCTTTGTTTGGCAGTCGATGACACTGAAAGAAGCCATCAAATCCTCCCTGGTCATCCTGAAGCAAGTGATGGAGGAGAAACTGAATGCAACCAACATTGAGGTGAGGGTGGGGCAAAGGCTGTGGGGTGGGAGCTGTGGGGCAGATGTCTGCAGCCTGGAGTGTCTTGTTTCCTTGGTGCAACCTGGTCTAGGTTGGAGATGAGGAGGAAATTCTTCACCATGAGGGTGGTGAGAGCCTGGCCCAGGTTGCCCAGGGAAGCTGTGGCTGCCCCATCCCTGGCAGTGTTGAAGGGCAGGTTGGATGGGGCTTGGAGCAGCCTGGGCTGGTGGGAGGTGTCCCTGCCCATAGCAGCTGGGACTTAGATGGTCTTTGAGGTCCTTCCCAACCCATTCCGTGGTTTTATAGTTCTTTGGTAACTTCTGGGCCTGGGAAGTGTTGGCATTTTACACCTCCAGGTGAGGGAGCTGCCCACTTGCCTCTGGAAAGGAGGATTTTTCCTCTGCCTGTAGAGCAAGGACCAAGTTGGTGGAGCAGCTCAGGGCTTCCCAAGCCAAGAGCTGCAGATGTGCTTGTGAAGACTGAGGGGGGATCTCATCAGTCCTTATCAATCCTTATCAATACTCCAAGGGTCAGGATGGGGTCAGACTCTTCAGTGGTGCCCAGTGACAGGACAAGGGGCACTGGGCACAAACTGAAACATGGGAAGTTCCATCTGAACATGAGGAGGAACTTGTTGACTGTGAGGGGCCCTGGGCCAGGCTGCCCAGGGAGGTGCTGGAGTCTCCTTCTCTAGAGACATCCCAACGCCTCTGGATGTGTTCCTGTGGGATCTGCTGTAGGTGTCCCTGCTCTGGCAGGGGTGCTGGACTAGGTGATTTCCAGAGGTCCCTTCCAACCCCTTAACACTGACATTGTGACTTGGAACTGCCCATTGCAGCACCTGGTGCTGCAAAGCTTGGAGCTTTCTCTGCCCTGCAGGGCTGTGTGGCCAGGCCTGTTGTGGGTGGGGGCTTCTGGCTGGGGGCTGCAGCCCCCCCTGACCTGAGAGCCAGCCCAGCCTGATTGCTTCTTCTCCATTCCTTTTTTTTTTTCGTTTCCCTGGTCCTGGTAATATTAGAAGGAATGAAAACCCCAGCTCTGGCCTTGCTATATTCAGGCCTTGGGGCAGTTCCAAAAATCTCTCAGCCAGGAGGGCCCAAGAGGTGAAGCCTCCAGGAACAAACATGTTCCTCTCAACCTCTGGCTTTTGCCCACCAAGTGGTCAAGCTGAGGGAGCTCAACTTGAGCCCAGTGCTCCTGGAGATCCCCTCAAGCACAAGTGGGTCCCCAGAGTCCTTCTCACCCTCCTGTTTTTAAGTGCCAAAAAGGTTCAAACCTCTCCAGTCAGGGAGTGGGGACGGAGGGATGAGGAGCAAGGCTGGTGTGTGCAGAATTCCCTGCTATTTTTGACCCTAGACCTTTGCAAATCAGGTGGTTCCAACTCCTCAACCCTTCTCCTCCCTCTGTCCTTCTCTTCCTTTCCTCTCAGCCCTGGGAACTCATTTCCCAGACATGAATGAAACATTTCCATAAGTACCACTGGTGGGGACCCTTCTTGACCTGCTTCACCTCCTTCCTTTGGGTGGGAAAGAGCCACCAAACCCTTTGGAAAACTCACCCACTATCCAGGGATGATGTTGACCAGTTGGAATCTGCTTCTTTCCCAATGGATCAGGTCTCTCTTCCATCAACTTCAGGTCTCTGCTGGAGGATCTATAGTACAGTGGGGAGGAATGGAGAGAGGGTGTGTGTGTGTGTGTGTGTGTACAGTATCCTGATGTCATATCCATGTTTAACAGGGCTTAACTGTGCTGGGCAAAGCTCCCAAGGTGGGGGAGGAATCCTGGAATCATGGAGGATCATGTTGGGGTGGAGCATGCCAGGAATGTGCTGAGGATTAAAAGGGTCTCTATTAACTCAAATCACCCCCCTCAGGGGTTGAAAATCTTCTACCTGAAGTAGCTGCTTGGTTTTCCAGCCTTTTGACTCTTCCCAGCAGTGCCCAGTCACAGGACCAGGGGCACTGGGCACAAACTGGAGCACAGGAGGTTCCAGCTGAACATGAGGAGGAACTTGTTGACTGTGAGGGTGACAGAGCCCTGGGACAGGCTGCCCAGGGAGGTGCTGGAGTCTCCTTCTCTAGAGACATCCCAACGCCTCTGGATGTGTTCCTGTGGGATCTGCTGTAGGTGTCCCTGCTCTGGCAGGGGTGCTGGACTAGGTGATTTCCAGAGGTCCCTTCCAACCCCTTAACACTGACATTGTGACTTGGAACTGCCCATTGCAGCACCTGGTGCTGCAAAGCTTGGAGCTTTCTCTGCCCTGCAGGGCTGTGTGGCCAGGCCTGTTGTGGGTGGGGGCTTCTGGCTGGGGGCTGCAGCCCCCCCTGACCTGAGAGCCAGCCCAGCCTGATTGCTTCTTCTCCATTCCTTTTTTTTTTTTTCGTTTCCCTGGTCCTGGTAATATTAGAAGGAATGAAAACCCCAGCTCTGGCCTTGCTATATTCAGGCCTTGGGGCAGTTCCAAAAATCTCTCAGCCAGGAGGGCCCAAGAGGTGAAGCCTCCAGGAACTATTAGAAGGAATGAAAACCCCAGCTCTGGCCTTGCTATATTCAGGCCTTGGGGCAGTTCCAAAAATCTCTCAGCCAGGAGGGCCCAAGAGGTGAAGCCTCCAGGAACAAACATGTTCCTCTCAACCTCTGGCTTTTGCCCACCAAGTGGTCAAGCTGAGGGAGCTCAACTTGAGCCCAGTGCTCCTGGAGATCCCCTCAAGCACAAGTGGGTCCCCAGAGTCCTTCTCACCCTCCTGTTTTTAAGTGCCAAAAAGGTTCAAACCTCTCCAGTCAGGGAGTGGGGACGGAGGGATGAGGAGCAAGGCTGGTGTGTGCAGAATTCCCTGCTATTTTTGACCCTAGACCTTTGCAAATCAGGTGGTTCCAACTCCTCAACCCTTCTCCTCCCTCTGTCCTTCTCTTCCTTTCCTCTCAGCCCTGGGAACTCATTTCCCAGACATGAATGAAACATTTCCATAAGTACCACTGGTGGGGACCCTTCTTGACCTGCTTCACCTCCTTCCTTTGGGTGGGAAAGAGCCACCAAACCCTTTGGAAAACTCACCCACTATCCAGGGATGATGTTGACCAGTTGGAATCTGCTTCTTTCCCAATGGATCAGGTCTCTCTTCCATCAACTTCAGGTCTCTGCTGGAGGATCTATAGTACAGTGGGGAGGAATGGAGAGAGGGTGTGTGTGTGTGTGTGTGTGTACAGTATCCTGATGTCATATCCATGTTTAACAGGGCTTAACTGTGCTGGGCAAAGCTCCCAAGGTGGGGGAGGAATCCTGGAATCATGGAGGATCATGTTGGGGTGGAGCATGCCAGGAATGTGCTGAGGATTAAAAGGGTCTCTATTAACTCAAATCACCCCCCTCAGGGGTTGAAAATCTTCTACCTGAAGTAGCTGCTTGGTTTTCCAGCCTTTTGGAATTAGGTGGTGCTCTGGTGTGTTGATCCATGGCACTTCCCAGCCCTTTCCACCTTGTCTTGGGAAGGGTTTTCCATCCAGCAGCAAAGAGAAGGGGTGAAGTGTGGTGGTGGAAGGGTTAAAACCCCTTGGCAAGGAAGGGCAGGAGCCTGGAGGAACTTTATCCTTTTAAATGAATGGCTTCCAGGGAAGCCTGGAAGGGATGAGCTGAGTAAAGCTTTTCTTTGGAGGGAGGAACAGGTTGGAGCAGGAAAGTGGGAGCAGTTGGTGTCTCTGAGCTCTGGTTTTGGGGTGGCTGAATGTGGGGGGGTCAGGTCTGCTCAGGTCCTGCACCCTTGTGGGTGATGGGAACCCCATCCCTGGCAGTGTTGAAGGGCTGATTGGATGGGGCTTGGAGCAACCTGGGCTGGTGGGAGGTGTCCCTGCCCATGCAGGGGGTTGGAACTGGATGATCTTGAAGGTCCCTTCCAACCCAAACCATCCCATGATTTGAGGACCCTTAAGTGGCATCTCCAAGTGTCTGGGGCCTGTCTGAGCTCCAGCCTGGGCTGCCAGGGCCTCCCAGCTTGAGCATTCCAGATGTTTCTCCTTGAAAACCATTTGGAACTCCCCTCCCTCTACTCCAGAAGCATCTCCTGCCATTTCCTGCTGGTTCCCTTGCAAGCAGGGAAGCTCTGGGATTTCCCAGCCCCCTCTACAGCTTCTGGCAGCCAAACCCTTTGATCCCTTTGGAATGAATCTGTGCTGGGAACAGTGGGATCTGGAGCATCCAGGGAGATGGTGGAGTCATTCCAAACCTGCCTGGATGGAATCTACTGTAGGTGACCCTGTTTTAGCAGGGGATTGGACTAGATGATCTCCAGAGGTCCCTTCCCACCCTGCCCAGTCTGTGATCCCAGCAGCTCCTGCATCTTTCCAGCCCTCCTGCTGGGAGCATCTCCCTGGACCTTGGTTTCTCACCCTGGCAGTGAGGGGTGAGCACAAGTCCTGCTCATGTCCCTCTTCCACCCTCCTTGTTCCCCAAGTGTCTCTTCTTCTGGGTCTCACCCTCTAAAACCTCCTGTTTGCCCTGGATGCTGCCCCTTCCTTCCAGGCAGAGGGGCAGGAGGGGTGTTTTTCCCCCCTCTCTCCAGGCAGAGGGGCAGGAGGGGGTGTTTTGCCCCCCTCTCTCCAGGCAGAAGGAGAGGGGCAGGAGGGGGTGTTTTTCCCCCCTCTCTCCAGGCAGAGGGGCAGGAGGGGGTGTTTTGCCCCCCTCTCTCCAGGCAGAAGGGCAGGAAGGGCATGTTTTGCCCCCCTCTCTCCAGGCAGAGGGGCAGAAGGGGGTGTTTTGCCCCCCAGCTTCCATGGCCAGGATCCCTTTGTTCCCCTCTCACAGGCCACCAAGCAGCTCCAAGATGCTTTTTGCTGACATTTGGCCACCAAAACACAGGTTTGGCCTCAGTCTCTGTTTCCCAGAGCTGCTCCTCAGCCCTTCCAGGGGTGATTTGGTTCCTTGGTTCTCTCCCAGCAGGGAACAGGTTGGGATTTGTACCCTGGCTTGGTTATTTGGGGCAGGAGAAGCCCTGAACCACGGGGAGAGCCCTTCAGTGAAGGGATTCATTTTATCAGGGTCTGTTTCCCCAGCAAGCAGAATCAGATCCAGCCTCTTCCCACAGCCATTCCTGGCTGCTATGAGGACTCTGATGCAATTAAAATCTATTTCTGCAGCAGGAACTATTTTAGGGAACCCAAGAGCAGGTTGTGGGGTTGGAATGATCTTGCTGGGCTGGCAGAGCAGAGAAGGAACAGCTGCAGAGCTCTGTCCCCTGTCCCCTCTCCATGCTGCTGCTCTCC